TGTTGTGGGTGGAGGAACATCATCATCCCAGGGTTGCGTTCCACTTCCATTTGTTGTGTTCAAGTTTCTCTGAGTTTGTTGGAATTGAATGGAATTGGATGTGCTGGAAGAACTGCATGCACCGAAGACGGTCGTGGAGTGTTGCTGACAGGTGGGCAGGATCTCTGTTTGTTGAAACGTTGCATTGGTTCGGCTAAGCAGTTTGCCGACTGCGTCGGCCTTCTCGTGATTTGATGCGTTTTCTTCTCCTTCACTCCTGGAAGAAAAGGGATGTTACTCATCGGTTGGGTGCCGTTTGAAACAGATGGTTTGCTGATTGGTTGCAGTGATTTAGTGCGCTGAGGGACCTTTCGTCTGACATGGGCATTTGTGACATCCATACAGAATCCACTGATTGACAAACAAAGAGCCTCAGGTATGTGTGCTTTGAAGAGGTTCGTATATGTTCAGGTGCAACAGATAGGGCTTTTGTGCCTAGTTCTTCATTCTGTCGCCCAAGCCGATTGTCTCCTCATGCCGGTCTTCAAAATTGAACGTGTGAATGCAAAACACAACAAGAATCGCACTGGCATTTCAGACAACATGCTGCACTGAAGTTCAATCTCGGCTAAGCCTTAGCCATGGTTGAACCTCGTTCATTTTTTGAGCCGACGCACACCTTTTTGGATCGCATGGAGGGTGCCAATCACCGGTGGCCCGTTCCGTGCTACTTCCGCTTCTTTTCTTTGTGCCTTTCATGTGTCAAGCTCATTCAGATTCAATGTCACCCGGCTCTGCTTGTGCTGTTCACTACAGTGTCCACTCCGGTGTCCGAACGACCGAAGCGCAGAAAACGACGAACGGCACGACCAGATCGGCCGCCTGACCGGTCCTCGAAAGTGAAGAAATGGGTGTTCAGGGCTGTCCATGGCAAGGGTCGGACCGAAACTCCACCGAAACGCAGGGGGTCCGGGGCCGAACCAAACCCTATCTGTTGGTGAAGGAGCCCGGATTCTTAGGGGATGATATCAAGGGGTATCCACCAGCACCGACTCGGCCAACAGGTCACCAATTGAAACCTGTGACATGGCCCTTCCCAACAACCCTCCAGCCAGACCTGTCGGGTTCGATTCTGGATATAGGGATGTATAGGGATATGAAAAAATAGAGGTGTGGCAGGTTGGGCTTTTGCTCGGTCCACTGTCTCGACTCGTGACTCGTGTGGACTCGGTCTTACTCTTACTCTCTTCTTGTCCACACAGAAGCTAGACTGGTAGCCGGCCTTGGCGATCTGATGCAGCGGGAACCTCGAACACCGGTTTCATGCTTTTTGAAGAGGCCAGAGTTCACAGATGCGATGCAAGATGGCTTTTGCCATGTAACAACTATAGGCCATGGTGAGAGAAAAGGCAGCCATGATGCCAAGGTGCTTGGGGTCACCTCCAGCGCAAATGGCCAGAGTTCGACCCAGGGGCTTAACCTTTCCTTTGCCTCGGAACTTCCAACCTGTTTGTCCAGGGTTTTTGAAGTTTAGCATCTATCCAGCGCCCAGAGTTTGACGCAATCACTCTGACTGCTGCTCATAGACGTTTAGATACAATATGATACAATCCTTTAGTCCCCCAACATCCCCCTATCTGACAGAAATGAACAGATTACGGAACATCACAAGCGATTACGGGTACCCGAATGAACAGAATCACTGAACACCCCAGCCAGGGCTTGAGAAGCAACAGACACCCCAGACACTCGTCCATTTGGGCCGAATGAGGTGCGGCAACCGCTCGGCAGTAGAGGACGCCATTGCACCTTGACCTGAGCAGAATGGAGTCTTAGGCAGTACACTGACCCCGTTGGAGAAGTCAAATACGACACA